TCCAGAAGTCTCAACAACCCTCCGAGAGTCTCAACAACCCTCGGAGAGTCTCAACAGCCCTCCAGTAGTCTCAACAACCCTTCGGTAGTCTCAACAACCCTCTAGTTGTCTCAAAAACCCTCCAGGAGTCTTTAACAACCCTCCAGGAGTCTCCACAACCCTCTTGGAGTCTCAACAACCCTCTGGTAGTTTCAATAACTCTCCAGTAGTCTTAACCCTTCAACACAACCCTCCGGAGTCTTAGTCCAGGAGTCTCAAAAACCCTTCACAACAACCCTCGAGTTTCAATAACTCTCCAACAACCCTCCAGGAGTCTCCACAACCCTCTTGGAGTCTCAACAACCCTCCGGTAGTTTCAATAACCCTCCAGTAGTCTTAACAACACTCATGGAGTCTCAATAAGCCTCTCCAAAACCCTCCAGTAGTCTCAACAACCCTCCATGAGTCAAAACAACCCTCCAGTAGTCTCAATAACCCTCTAGTAGTCTCAAAAAACCTCCGGGAGTCTCAACAATCCTGCAGTAGTCTAAATGACCCTCCGGTAGTATCAACAACCCTCCAGTAGTCTTAACAACCCTCCAGGAGTCTCAACAACCCTCCAGGTGTCTCAACAACCCTCCAGAAGTCTCAACAACCCTTTGGTAGTTTCAATAACCCTTCAGTAGTCTCAACAACCCTGCAGGTGTTTCAATAACCCACCGGTAGTCTCAACAACCCTCTAGTAGTCTCAAAAACCCTCCAAGAGTCTCAACAACCCTCATGGAGTCTCAACAACCCTCCAGTAGTTTCAATAACCCTCCAGTAGTCTTAACAACACTCCGGGAGTCTCAAAAACCCTTCAAGAGCCTCAACAACCCTCCAGGAGTCTTAACAACCCTCCAGGAGTCTCAAAAACCCTCTTGGAGTCACAACAACCCTCGGGTAGTTTCAATAACCCTCCAGTAGTCTTAACAACACTCCGGGAGTCTCAAAAACCCTTCAAGAGTCTTAACAACCCTCCAGGAGTCTCCACAACCCTCTTGGAGTCTCAACAACCCTCCGGTAGTTTCAATAACCCTCCAGTAGTCTTAACAACACTCATGGAGTCTCAATAAGCCTCTCCAAAACCCTCCAGTAGTCTCAACAACCCTCCATGAGTCTCAACAACCCTCCAGTAGTCTCAATAACCCTCTAGTAGTCTCAAAAAACCTCCGGGAGTCTCAACAATCCTGCAGTAGTCTAAATGACCCTCTGGTAGTATCAACAACCCTCCAGTAGTCTTAACAACCCTCCAGGAGTCTCAACAACCCTCCAGGTGTCTCAACAACCCTCCAGGAGTCTCAACAACCCTTCAGTAGTTTCAATAACCCTTCAGTAGTCTCAACAACCCTGCAGGTGTTTCAATAACCCACCGGTAGTCTCAACAACCCTCTAGTAGTCTCAAAAACCCTCCAGGAGTCTTAACAACCCTCCAGAAGTCTCAACAATCCTCATGGAGTCTCAACAACCCTCCAGTAGTTTCAATAACCCTCCAGTAGTCTTAACAACACTCCGGGAGTCTCAAAAACCCTTCAAGAGTCTCAACAACCCTCCAGGAGTCTTAACAACCCTCCACGAATCTCAACAACCCTCCGGTAGTTTCAATAACCCTCCAGTAGTCTCAACAACCCTGCAGGTGTCTCAACAACCCACCGGTAGTCTCAACAAACTCCAGTAGTCTCAATAACCTACCAGGAGTCTTAGCAATCTTCCAGGAGTCTCAACATCCCTCCAGGAATCTCAACAATCCTTTAGGAGCCTTACCAAACCTCCAGGAGTTTCAATAATCTTCCAGGAAGTTTACAAACCTTCCAGGAGTCTCAAAAATCTTTCAGGGGTCTCAACAACCCTCCGGTAGTCTCAACGAACCTTCATGAGTCTCAACAATCCTTTAGAAGACTTACCAACCATCCAGGATTCTCAACAGTCTTCCAGGAGTCTTACCAACCCTCCAACAGTCTCAACAGTCTTACAGGAGTCTTACCAACCCTCCAACAGTCTCAACAGTCTTCCAGGAGTCTTACCAACCCTCCAACAGTCTCAACAGTCTTCCAGGAGTCTTACCAACCCTCCAACAGTCTCAACAGTCTTCCAGGAGTCTTACCAACCCTGCAGGAGTCTCAACAATCTTCAAGGTGTCAACAACCCTCCAGTAGTCCTGCTATTATAGCTATTTCTTGAGAAGTATTGGATGGATCTTTCTCAAATTCCATATGTAAGTTACCCTTGACCCCTAGTGGCCCGTTTGATTTGGGATTGGTTAGAAAGAAAATCAAAATGGCTGACAGGCGGTCATCTTGGATTTTTTTCAATGAAGTTTGTTATCACTATTTCATGAAAACTACTGAATGGATCTCTCTCAAATTTCATACGAAAGTTCCCCTTTGTCTCCATTTGATATTAGGACTGACTAGAAAAACAAAATGGCCTACAGGTTTGTTATTGCCATTTCTAGAGAACAACCACATAGATCTTTCTTAAATTTCATGTGTATGTTTTCCTTGATCCCTAGTTGTGCCTGTTTGATCTTGGTACTGGTCAAAAAAACAAAATGGCTGACGAGCAGCCATCCTGGATTTTTAATTTTGAAGGTTGTTATGGCTATTTCTTGGAGGGAACTTCAATACATATCTTTCTTAAATTTCATGTATAGGTACCTCTTGGTCCCTATTTGTAGCTGTTTGAGTTTGTACTGATCAGAAAAACAAAATAGGACGGGTATGTTCCATTTGGTCTCTACTTTTGCCCGTCTGATTTTGGGATAGGTCAGAAGAAAGAAAATGACTTCCAGGCGACCATTTTGGATTTGGCAGGTAAAGATTATCATCACTATTTCTGCAAAGAAATATTTAAATTTCTTATCACTTAGAGCAAAAACAGAGAAAAGAAAAGAAGGGAAAAGATCCAACTCTCAATGAGCAAATAAAGATCAAACAATGGTGGGCGCCAAGATCTCTCTGGGATCACTTGTCATGCAATAGTATATACATGTATATGTAGTGAAGCCAGCATACATCTCTCAGTATCATGTAGGTAAAAACACAAATAAATCTCACAGATTGGGAAAATAAATAACTTGAATTTACCTCCACAATTTTCCCACAATTCTTAATTCTATACTTCCTTTGTCATGTCACAATCATACAATGCTGAATACATCATTTTATATCTTACAAATATTTGAGTCAGGAATGTTCTCAACGATTTTATTGCTGAAGTGTCCTGCAGCACAATCTACAGGTTGTAAACATAAACCTTCTCACAAACAAGGATCACAGATAATTCATATCAATATATGATTCATCTTGTTGACATACAGTCAAATGCTTGTACATATAATATCACAGAGTATAAAAGACTGGATGGATCAGCAAAGTATCACAGTTATTATTCTCAATAGATATAAACAAAATAAAGATATCTTGTATAATAACATGAGTCACAGAGTACATAAATTGTATTCAACCTAATAACAGGGATCAGAGAGAACATGTATTGTGTTCAACTTTATAGTAGACATTACAGAGTACATGTATTCAACCTGATAATAAGTATCAAAGAGGACAAATATTGTATTCAACCTTACAATCGAGGTCACAGAGTACAAATATTGTATTCAACCTAATAACAGGGGTCAGAGAGAACATGTATTCAACCTTATAACAGGGATTACAGAGTACAAATATTGTATTCAACCTAATAACAGGGGTCAAAGAGAACATATATTGTATTCAACCGTACAACAGAGATCACAGAGAACATGTATTGTGTTCGAAAAAATAATGATTTATGATAATCAGTTCAATGCTTCAACAATGTAAAAATTAGGAGACACTTTGAGTTAAATGGTCAGCTTAATGGTACAAGGTTTAGAGACAAAAACATGAGCAATTGTTAACTAGAGCAGGGCACTTGTTAGGTTGAGTACAGTCAATAAATTATTACAACACAGTCTTCAGTCTCTCACAGCCAGTGGTTATACAGGTATATCAAAACAATACTGACGCATCAATCCCCATGTCTGTATTTAGTGACTCATAACAAGGGTTCATCAATTGTCTAGTCACTGAATGTGTTTGCATCATTATTCACAACTATAAACACATATAAAGGTATTGTATTTTTGCACTGTCATCAAGCAGAGATACGTTTTATATCTGAGTCGTGAAATATTTGTATGCCCATTTCTCCACAATGTGTATGGTAAAACCCACATGTCCTTGAAAGTCATCCTAATCCCTTACTGTTTAACTCTCCCTTTCTTATGAAGAGGCTTTACAAGGTTACTTATACAATACATGACACATCAAATACTCTAATCACAGTCTGTCGTGCTCATACAGCCACATGATCCTTTACAACTAGATTATTTGACTTCCTTTTTTGGTAAAATCACAAAATCCATTTTCACACATGTAGCATGTCATATATAAAAATATAAATATTTTTTACATTTTATTAATACTTTGTCGCTAGTGGTGGTCATTCACCTACTATCTAGTCCATTGTGGTCTCTGATTTTACAACCAACAATAACATCTACCTAACTCCGTCACAACAAACACATGTATATGTCTATTGCTTCCATACTGGTTAACAGCTGCCAGTTGTGTTTATTATGTAAATGTCAATAACTATTGCAGGAGCAAACCTGTAAAAAAAAACTGTGTCTGTTGAAGCCACATAGAAACCATTTTGAACATGAAGCTATGATGGGCAAGCTATGAGTAGTCTTTATCAGGGATGATAACATTTCTCTTTGTATCTTACAACCAGCATCCTGTCGAATACGGCATATGGCAGACATTTCTGAATCCATTTCTGTCCTTTATAAGTGATATTTGTTTTGAAGTGGGATCTCCAAGATTCAGAACTATTTTGACATTTCAGGAAATACGACCTTCAGACTTTATGATCAAGGTAATTAGGTGCACAAAGCAGCTGCCAAAGAGTTTCTTTCAGATCTTCTTCAGTGACCTATTTTAGGTCATTGCCACATGAACAACCTTTTTAAGCATTTTTCTAAGAGCTTTACATTGATCTTCAAGTTTATAACAGCGTGAAACAGCATCCTTTTTTCTCTCCTCCATCAAGAAAAGTGTCTCCATCATGTCCGCATTCTCCTTATATAAGTCCACCACCAGCAAGTTTCTCTCGTTGCAGTCTGAATACTTAAAACACAAAACAAAACCAAAAAATGAGATGGCATGCTTTTCTTTTCAGAAGACTTGTATTCATAGATATCTTTCTCCTTGGTGAACAGACAATACATGATAAGGAAAAGGACTTAATTATATACCAAGTATAGAATCCAAGGAATCTCTGAAAGACTGTGGCTAACACAACTGTAGCTTGATACTTTATGATGGAAGAAGTTATAATGATCTATTCTGTTGTTCAATTACAGAGTAACATCTCAGAGAGAAAAAATGGAAATGAAATGAAGATAACTGATTGTGCCATTTCCTAAAAACAGGTATAACTACCAACCTTTGCTAAAGAAGAGGAAAAAGTTAAATGCCAGTAAAATTAAACTGAGATTTCTGGGTATATATAAAGTAGTATATTGTAAATGTCATTATGTTAAACAAGGAGTCAGTAGATAGAAAGCAGATCAAGTCTACTAATTCTTTCAGGGAAGTTATCTCAAAAATCAATGAAACCTTAGTCTTTGTTCCGATTACAAATTCCTACCCGTGATTGTGAATTTTGTTTGATATGCTTACATGAGATTTTATTTTTTCCAGTTGTTCGTCTAACATTTCTTGTGTTAGTCGGAGTTTTCGTCTCAGATTTACTTTCTCTTCCTCCAACGCTTCCATGATTTTCTTGAATTCCTCCTCTTTATCTGTGGAATTGTATTTGAAAGTGATTAAATCATTGTATTTCATAATTCACCATTAAATTTTTGATAAGTAAGAATTTTATTTTACTTGTAACATATTATCATAACATAACACATACAAGAAATCATAAGAAAACATTACAAAAAAATATTATCAGCATGTTGTTTGATGATCAGAGACTGTACTTAACTTTATTTGATGAGAAAGATTTTCTACCCTGAGATTAAACTCAGCACATATCTATATAAAACTGGCTTGACATCCATATCTTTGGACATGTACAAGCAGGAAATATGAATGTATTAACTTCCTCTATGTTTAACCTTGCCAATGACACAAATTGATATTTTTATATGAGAATAGTTCCCTGAAGTTCCAGTTCAGATTACACAGCACACTTTTTAAAAGTTATTTTAGAAAATACTGATTACATCAATTTAAATTGAAGTGTGTTATCTCAGAACAAGGAAATGTTAGCCACTTATTTATGTCCTGTTTATAGATACCGACTTGACTTCAAGTGACTTAACTCTTGTTCATGTGATCAGGAAGTATGTTTATATACAGCATAATAAGTAAAATTATATGTACACAACATTTCACAAAACTCAACAATTACATCAGAGAATAAAATTATAAGCTATGCATGTTATACAAAATATACTATGTTATATCTGATGTAGGTAACATCTATACCATGTTGTATCTGATGTAGACAAGGGAACGTCTATATCATGTTGTATCTGATGTAGACAAGGGAACGTCTATATCATGTTGTATCTGATGTAGACAAGGGAACGTCTATATCATGTTATATCTGATGTAGACAAGGGGACATCTATATACCATATTATATCTGATGTAGGTAACATCTATACCATGTTGTATCTGATGTAGACAAGGGAACGTCTATATCATGTTGTATCTGATGTAGACAAGGGAACGTCTATATCATGTTGTATCTGATGTAGACAAGGGAACGTCTATATCATGTTATATCTGATGTAGACAAGGGAACGTCTATATCATGTTGTATCTGATGTAGACAAGGGAACGTCTATATCATGTTGTATCTGATGTAGACAAGGGAACGTCTATATCATGTTGTATCTGATGTAGACAAGAGAACATCTATACGATGTTATATCTGATGTAGACAAGGGAACATCTATATCATGTTGTATCTGATGTAGACAAGGGGACATCTATATCATGTTATATCTGATGTAGACAAGGGGACATCTATATCATGTTATATCTGATGTAGACAAGGGGACATCTATATACCATATTATATCTGATGTAGACAAGGGGACATCTATATCATGTTATATCTGATGTAGACAAGGGGACATCTATATCATGTTATATCTGATGTAGACAAGGGAACATCTATATCATGTTGTATCTGATGTAGACAAGGGAACATCTAAATACCATGTAATATCTGATGTAGACAAGGGAACATCTATATCATGTTATATCTGATGTAGACAAGGGGACATCTATATCATGTTGTATCTGATGTAGACAAGGGGACGTCTATATCATGTTGTATCTGATGTAGACAAGGGAACATCTATATCATGTTGTATCTGATGTAGACAAGGGAACATCTATGACACATCTTGTGTACTTGTTGTTTCCTGATTGGTGTGACGGTCAGTGTAGTTATTGTTGTTTCCTGACCGGTCAGTGTAGTTATTGTTGTTTCCTGACCGGTGTGATGGTCAGTGTAGTTACTGTTGTTTCCTGACCGGTGTGACGGTCAGTGTAGTTATTGTTGCTTTTTAAAATGTAATTACCTTTAAAGGCTTTGTTTTTCTCATTCTCTTTTGCTTCCAAAATATCATGGAGTTCATGCAGTTGCCGTTGGTGATCAACCAAGTCACCCTGTAGCCTGGTAAACTTCTCAAGGTCAACTGAATTGCTGTTCATGTCTCGTAGTTTACTGATTTCTAATTCATGGTCAGCCTTGTGGTCAGCCAGTTTGTGATTCATATTCTCCAACTGTCAATATAAAGTTGTCTCTTTGTTTAGTACTATATATATTCATAACTTATTAACAAACAATAACAAACAGAATTTTTAAAGTAAGATTCTCCGAACAATTCTTGAAAAAGATTCAGAGATATAGACAGAAAATAAGGAGAATTTTAAAAAGAAAATGTTCTCTTCCGAAATTATACCTTAAAGGCATGTGATTCTAACAGTAGTTTGAATTTAGTGTCTGGCCAGCAGACCAGCAATGGAGCCTTGACTAGGAGTTATTGCCCTTGAAATAATAGCCTACAGCAACATGGCTAATACAACTGGAAGCCAAGGACACATATGAAAATGTCAGCATATTCACTTTGATAACAGGAGTACTGTAAGTAAAAGATTTGGCCTATCAAGACATGAACATGCAAACTTAAGAGGAAATTTAGATAATATACATAACTAAAGTGTATTAGGAAAATAAATACTTTCTGACAGAAAATTAACATTATTGTGGTACATTTCATTCTGTTTAAGGTCGTTTTGTGGTATCTATGAAACTTAAAACCATTAATAAATACATATAACAAAGTATGCCAAGAACATATCAGCAGCTGGACCCGATAGAGCAGGAGATATTTTGTTAGAATTCTAAGAGAAAATACAGAATGTCTTTCTCCATTTATAAAGTTTAACACATCACTCACCTGACCAGACACTTTTGTCAGCTCATTTTCTAATCGCTCTTTTTCTAACTGAAGTGCCATCATTTTCTCCTGAAAAACAACAGCCATTTTGTCATAATTGAGACAATATTGTTTTTTTCTGTTCAAAATAAATGAAGGAAATTAATTTTCATTTTCAACAATAAGTCTCTCTTACCTTGTATTTACATATAATCAAAATATCATACATAAGCTTCTGAACTTTCACCACTAGGAGTTTACATTATTGATAGAGATAATTTTTCAGAACCCTGTTTTTTTCCTTTCACTATCTGCTGTATCTCCAAATCACTATCTTACCTTTTCTCACTCCAGACAGCTTTATTTTTCCATCTGTATCTTACCTTTTCTCACTCCAGACAGCTTTATTTTTCCATCTCTATCTTACCTTCTATCACTCCAGACAGCTTTATGTTTCCATCTCTATCTTACCTTCTCTCACTCCAGACAGCTTTATTTTTCCATCTCTATCTTACCTTCTCTCACTCCAGACAGCTTTATTTTTTCCATCTCTATCTTACCTTCTCTCACTCCAGACAGCAGTATTTTTCCATCAAAATTTCTTATTTTCTCACTCCAGAGTGCTGTATTTTCCCTTCTCTATCTTACCTTCTCTCACTCCAGACTGCTGTGTTTTTCAATCTCAATCTTACCTTCTCTCACTCCAGAGTGCAGTATTTTCCCTTCTCTATCTTACCTTCTCTCACTCTAGAGTGCTGTGTTTTTCCCTCTTTATCTTACCTTTTCCCGCTCCAGATTACTGTTTGTCTCCCCTATATGACTGTTTAAAACCTCCACTTTGACCTGCAGATCCTTGTTTTCTGAGCTGATTGCTGTATTAGCTGAACTATATGCTATCTGTAAAGTAAGAAATTATCACCAATACATAATTCAGTTAAATCCTTGGAGTATAAAATATCACCCATACATAACACACTTAAATCCCTGGTGTGTAAAATATCACCCATACATAACACAGTTAAATCCCTGGTGTGTAAAATTTCACCCATACATAACACACTTAAATTCCTGGTGTGTAAAATATCACCCATACATAACACAGTTAAATTCCTGGTGTGTAAAATTTCACCCATACATTACACAGTTAATCCCTGGATTATAAAATATCACCCATACATAACACAGTTAAATCCCTGGTGTGTAAAATATCACCCATACATAACACAGTTAATTCTCTGGAGTGTAAAATTTTACCCATACATAACACAGTTAAATCCCTGTTGTGTAAAATATCACCCATACATAACACAGTTAAATCCCTGGTGTGTAAAATTTCACCCATACATAACACAATTAAATCCCTGGAGTATAAAATATCACCCATACATAACACAGTTAATTCTCTGGTGTGTAAAATTTCACCCATACATTACACAGTTAAATCCCTGGTGTGTAAAATATCACCCATACACAACACAGTTAAATCCCTGGTGTGTAAAATATCACCCATACATAACACAGTTAATTCTCTGGAGTGTAAAATTTTACCCATACATAACACAGTTAAATCCCTGTTGTGTAAAATATCACCCATACATAACACAGTTAAATCCCTGGTGTGTAAAATTTCACCCATACATAACACAATTAAATCCCTGGAGTATAAAATATCACCCATACATAACACAGTTAATTCTCTGGTGTGTAAAATTTCACCCATACATTACACAGTTAAATCCCTGGTGTGTAAAATATCACCCATACACAACACAGTTAAATCCCTGGTGTGTAAAATATCACCCATACATACCACAGTTAAATCCCTGGTGTGTAAAATATCACCCATACATAACACAGTTAAATCTCTAGTGTGTAAAATATCACCCATACATAACACAGTTAAATCCCTGGAGTATAAAATATCACCCATACATAACACAGTTAATTCTCTGGAGTGTAAAATTTCACCCATACATAACACAGTTAAATCCCTGTTGTGTAAAATATCACCCATACATAACACAGTTAAATCCCTGGTGTGTAAAATTTCACCCATACATAACACAATTAAATCCCTGGAGTATAAAATATCACCCATACATAACACAGTTAATTCTCTGGTGTGTAAAATTTCACCCATACATTACACAGTTAAATCCCTGGTGTGTAAAATATCACCCATACACAACACAGTTAAATCCCTGGTGTGTAAAATATCACCCATACATACCACAGTTAAATCCCTGGTGTGTAAAATATCAGCCATACATAACACAGTTAAATCTCTAGTGTGTAAAATATCACCCATACATAACACAGTTAATTCTCTGGTGTGTAAAATATCACCCATACATAACACCGTTAAATCCCTGGTGTGTAAAATTTTACCCATACATAACACAGTTAAATCCCTGTTGTGTAAAATATCACCCATACATACCACAGTTAAATCCCTGTTGTGTAAAATATCACCCATACATAACACCGTTAATTCTCTGGAGTGTAAAAATTCACCCATACATTACACAGTTAAATTCCTGGAGTATAAAATATCACCCATACATAACACAGTTAATTCTCTGAGGGTTGATATTATACAACATTCCTTTGGGGAAGATTTTCAATAACTTCTTTTCTGAACCAGAAATCTCTTTTAGCATGTCTTGTATATCACTTCACTTTTACAATGAACAGTGACAGAACTGACAAGTAGTAACATGAGATAAATAACAGTCTGTCAACTGGTATATTTTGTATTGAGTGAATTAGTTATACCTGCTGTTCGGTCATCTTTTTGACCCTATCATCAACATTCTGTAATTTGTTTTTGGCCGAGGCCAGTGTACGGTCGAGGTCATCACGTTCCCTTCGAAGACTGTCAATCACATTCTAGGTAAAGTGCAGGAAAACAAGGCAAAATTGGTGAGAACACACAACACAGCAATACTGAAGGTGCAGAGGGTAGTCCTAGAGATAATGAGATGGGACAAAACAAAGGAGATGATAAAGATGGTAGGGGTGAGGTAAAAGGCCATGATGCTGGTGGTTACAGGATTGGGACAACACAAAGAAGATGACAAGGACGCTTGAGGTTAAAGGTCATGGAGCTATTGGTAAAGGATGGGGACACCATGATGGAGGGGACAGGAAGATGGAGATAAGGTTAATGGTTGCAAGGAAGATGGAAATGGAATTTGGACAACACAGAGGAGGTGACAAAGAAAGTGAAGATGAGATTTGAGGTCATCAGGCTAGTGGTAATTGAATAAGGACAACACAGAGGAAGTGACAAGATAGCAAAGGTGATGTTGGAGGTCATGGGCTGAGGGTAATTGAATGGGGACAGAACAGGTGAGAACAGATTAGGATTGAGTGGGGTGAGGTTGGAGGTCATATGGCTGATGGTAATTGATTTGGGACAACACAATATACATATACACACAATATTTACTGCAAATACTCATGGAATATTCTATGTCACACACATTGTAAGACATGTTATAAAACTATTGTGATGTGGTAAGATTTACTGAGCGGTGCCCTTGTTCTGACTCTGCTTTTTTATGAATTTAATATCAATTTTATAATAAGTCAAATCCTATTTTAATTTGTATAAATCAACACTTTTCAACAAGCAATGTTTTTTAAAAGCAAACTACAATTGGAAAAATAATATATATATGAATCTGAAGTCTTTAAACCTAACTAATAACCTGCATGATAAGGAAAAACCCAAATAAAAAAAATAGAGTGTAATACTGCAGACCTTAAATCTAACAGGGCAAATTGTGCAAATGTGCTAAGGAACAAAGATCAGGAAAGAAATGAATGTAACTGATGACTACCTGAGCATGAGGGGATATCACATCAGAACTACTTTCTTTTAATTGTTCTTCTAACTTCTGAATTCTCTGCACATACTCCGTCTTCTCCTGGTCCCAGTCATGAAAAGCAGTCTACAACAAATTTTATAATAGAGTAATCTCCCTTCATATACGCCATATAACTAGACAGTCAATAAATTAAAAGTCAATGTATGGTCCCTATACCCCTTACACCTGTTACTTACCATCTATAGGGAAGTAAGTCAATGTATGGTCCCTATACCCCTTACACCTGTTACTTACCTTCTATAGAGAAGTAAGTCAATGTATGGTCCCTATTCCACTTACACCTGTTACTTGCCTTCTATAGAGAAGTAAGTCAATGTATGGTCCCTATACCCATTACACCTGTTACTTACCTTCTATAGAGAAGTAAGTCAATGTATGGTCCCTATACCACTTACACCTGTTACTTACCTTCTATAGAGAAGTAAGTCAATGTATGGTCCCTATACTCCTTACACCTGTTACTTACCTTCTATAGAGAAGTAAGTCAATGTATGGTCCCTATACTCCTTACACCTGTTACTTACCTTCTATAGAGAAGTAAGTCAATGTATGGTCCCTATACTCCTTACACCTGTTACTTACCTTCTATAGAGAAGTAAGTCAATGTATGGTCCCTATACCACTTACACCTGTTACTTACCTTCTATAGAGAAGTAAGTCAATGTATGGTCCCTATACCACTTACACCTGTTACTTACCTTCTATAGAGAAGTAAGTCAATGTATGGTCCCTATAACACTTACACCTGTTACTTACCTTCTATAGAGAAGTAAGTCAATGTATGGTCCCTATACTCCTTACACCTGTTACTTACCTTCTATAGAGAAGTAAGTCAATGTATGGTCCCTATACCACTTACACCTGTTACTTACCTTCTATAGGGAAGTAAGTCAATGTATGGTCCCTATACCACTTACACCTGTTACTTACCTTCTATAGAGAAGTAAGTCAATGTATGGTCCCTATACCACTTACACCTGTTACTTACCTTCTATAGAGAAGTAAGTCAATGTATGGTCCCTATACTCCTTACACCTGTTACTTACCTTCTATAGAGAAGTAAGTCAATGTATGGTCCCTATACTCCTTACACCTGTTACTTACCTTCTATAGAGAAGTAAGTCAATGTATGGTCCCTATACTCCTTACACCTGTTACTTACCTTCTATAGAGAAGTAAGTCAATGTATGGTCCCTATACTCCTTACACCTGTTACTTACCTTCTATAGAGAAGTAAGTCAATGTATGGTCCCTATACCACTTACACCTGTTACTTACCTTCTATAGAGAAGTAAGTCAATGTATGGTCCCTATACCCATTACACCTGTTACTTACCTTCTATAGAGAAGTAAGTCAATGTATGGTCCCTATACCCATTACACCTGTTACTTACCTTCTATAGAGAAGTAAGTCAATGTATGGTCCCTATACCCATTACACCTGTTACTTACCTTCTATAGAGAAGTAAGTCAATGTATGGTCCCTATACCCCTTACACCTGTTACTTACCTTCTATAGAGAAGTAAGTCAATGTATGGTCCCTATTCCACTTACACCTGTTACTTACTATCCAGAACTAAATGTTTTCCCCCTCTACCAGTAACACCAATAATTATGGTTGAGAACATGTCAATTACCTCTTGTAAAGCACTTAGCCTCTGATTGTCCACTTCCAGCTCCAGAGCTTTTCGCCTCAGTTTGGACATCTCCTTTTCTAACGCTACCTTCTCCTTGACCACCACAGAGTGCTGTAGCTGTAACCAATATGATTAAATCATGTACAATAATGGCTGTTAAATTTTTTACTCAATTCTTTGTAATTTTCTAAAACTATTTTATGTATAGTACTGACAGACTTACCCTGTCTACAGATTCCTTGGCTTGATGGACTTCTGATGCCCTGGCTGCGGTTATGACCTCCTCTCTCTCCACCAGAAGACTCTCTATCCGTGATTCCAGGCTAGACTTGCTGTCCTCTAGTGACTGCTGTGTTTCCTGATGGGCTCTCTCAGCCTGAATGTCCATGGAACATACAGTTCATATGGTTTACTTATATCTGTTGAATTTCTTTAAAAACAATTTCAATTTCCTCAAAGAATGTGAAATTTTGCTTTATCTGAAAAATATGTTAAAACTCCACCTTCCCACTGTCTTTCTGGCTTATATATCAGAATTATGTACAAGAAGCAAAACATTTCAAAAACCTTTAAGTGAATTAAAATAACAAAAATTATCAGAGATACATTTTTAGGAGAGATATTGAAATAGACTATATTTTAGTAGGCATTATACCTGCTGCTTTTCCCGTTTTAATGTTGAGATGGTGAGACGTAGTTCCTCCTCCTTCCCAGTAGATGTCTCCTTCTGCTCCAGATCTTTCTGTAGCTCTTCAACCTCCTCCCTGTACATATCAACCTGACGTTGAAGCTCCCCCTTCTCATTCTCAAAAGAAACTTTAAGCTGCTCTATTTGCTGGGTGAATTCATCCTATTGACAGAAACGTTATTGTTTACGATAAGAAGAACAGTACCAAGTCCCTCAAGTGACCAAATTTAGACTTTTTTTCAAATAAAACAATTATTATACCAGACTTTAAGTATTCTTGCTTTTAATCGGAACCTTCTGAGTTGGTCCTGGTCAGTGAAGTATAAGCAGGTGCTTGAGTATGCATAGAATGGATTCTAAGTCTTAAACATGTTTTGCATTCAGTTATTTATCCTTCTCCTCAGCCTACTGGGGTTTGATTCCTCTCTTGAGTAGTCAGTTTCAGTTTTAAAGATAGCCCTATTAATATCACCATGTTTCATCAAAATCTGACCAGCAGTTTCAGAGGAGTAGCTTCAAGTGTTTTTGTTTTCAGATATGCTCTAGACTATATCAACATAAGTCAACTGCGATCAGTCACCTGAGTAACCCTAACACTGTAGCCTGAATCAGGTATTAAAAGTCCCATACACACATTTCTGTAGGTAGTGTTTAAAATCTCTGGGTCTGAATGAATCAGATAACTGATACAGATATCTTAAGCAGTATAACCAAACAGATTTTTAAGTTCATATAAATGACAAAATGTTTTTTAAGTTCATATAAATGACAAAATGTTAGCTCTCTTTTGAACAAATGCTAAAATTTCATCAATGAATCAAATTCATATTAAAGAAACATAAACCTATACAATTCACAAATGGTAAGAGGTGCTACAATCAAATATAAAACCTGTGGTTAATGAGAGATAATAGTGAAACATGGGTTACTTTTCATTCACAAAATATTAATATCACAGACAGTTCACACAAATTCTTCAAACTTGCAGAAACATTTTATAATCCTGCACACTGTTTAGTAAATGCATCCCTCTAAAAATTCAGCAATTTTCATATCAATGTCAAATCATCTTCCTGTTACAACACAACACTAAAGATTATTGTACTCTCAGAAAAAGATCAGCATTTCTTGTCACACTAGATATTCTGGTATTGTTGTATATACCAGCTATAAAAACAAGCAATGCCACAACAATGTAGTTGTCTACCTTTGAGTGGGTCACTCGTCCTGTCCTCACAAAGAATTTCTTGCCAATGCCTACCACCGATATCTTGATTATCAGAGAAATAATTTCAAAATTACTCATCAATACTTCTTTTCAATGAATTTCAGAAAAAAGAGAGAAAATAAAACAAAAGAGGAAAGAATACATGTATCAGATAACAAAAAAATTCCTTCATTTTTCATCTTCAGCAATATTCCTGAAATTGTGCTCGGGAGAGGACAACATCCAAGTCATGCTTTGTGTATAAACATAAGATAGTGATATATTAAACACTAAATGAGACTCATTAGATGAACATTTTATGTGTATATGTTATTTTCTGTGGGGTTGAAAAAGGACCAAGTTATCTGCAATACAGACATTTAGATTTACCTCAAATCTGGTACTCTGTCGTATTTTGTGATTCTGTTTTATTTCCAAAAACAATGTTAAAGTCACAACTGCTTTCCAAAAGGATCATTAAATGTTTTGGTTTGTTTATGTTCCAATTTTTACAAGAAGAGATTGAAATAAAACCATCCCTCATGAATACATGCAACCTGAACAGATAATACCAAATCTGAATTGCTTTCAACTGAATATGACTCATCCAATATATAACCTGTTCTAATTATTTTTAGCTATAACCAAATATAATTAACGATAAATAGATACCAGTATTCAATCATCAATAAACCCTGATAATAAGTACATCCACAGATAAATGATACACAGCCAAATTATAAAGAAATGCCTTTTCAATGTTCTGTAATAAGCCCACCTTTAGGTAACCTGAGTTATAAGAGTGACCCAATTCTACTTTCTCCTTGATGGTGGGATCTTTCGGTAACCTGAGTTATAAGACTGACCCAATTCTTCTTTCTCCTTGATGGTGGGATCTTTCGGTAACCTGAGTTATAAGACTGACCCAATTCTACTTTCTCCTTGATGGTGGGATATTTAGAGTTATAAGACTGACCCAATTCTACTTTCTCCTTGATGGTGGGATCTTTAGGTAACCTGAGTTATAAGACTGACCCAATTCTACTTTCTCCTTGATCGTGGGATCTTTTGGTAACCTGAGTTATAAGACTGACCAAATTCTACTTTCTCCTTGATGGTGGGATCTTTAGGTAACCTGAGTTATAAGACTAACCCAATTCTACTTTCTCCCTAATGGTGGGATCTTCAGGTAACCTGAGTTATAAGACTGACCCAATTCTTCTTTCTCCCTAATGGTGGGATCTTCAGGTAACCTGAGTTATAAGACTGACCCAATTCCTCTTTCTCCCTAATGGTGGGATCTTTAGGTAACCTGAGTTATAAGACTGACCCAATTCTACTTTCTCCCTAATGTTGGGATCTTTAGAAAACCTGGGTTATAAAACTGACCCACCTCTACTTTCTCCTTGATGGTGGGATATTTAGAGTTATAAGACTGACCCAATTCTACTTTCTCCTTGATGGTGGGATCTTTAGGTAACCTGAGTTATAAGACTGACCCAATTCTACTTTCTCCTTGATGGTGGGATCTTTCAGTAACCTGAGTTATAAGACTGACCCAATTCTACTTTCTCCTTGATGGTGGGATCTTTCGGTAACCTGAGTTATAAGACTGACCCAATTCTACTTTCTCCTTGATGGTGGGATATTTAGAGTTATAAGACTGACCCACCTCTAGTTCCTCCTTGATGGTGCGTGCCAGTTCCTCTTCAAGTGTTTCCCTTTCCTCCTCAAAACGTTCCTCCATGGCTTCTCGTTCTTCCTCCAGTCGCACACTGAGACGGTCTAACTGACTTCGCAGTGCCACAATCTGACCCTCATACTTGTCTCGAAGATCCTCCTTCTCTTGGGCAAAGGCTTGTTCTGTAAGATATCCAAGTTTTGTTACATATGATGTTTTATTGTGCTATCTGGATATTCAAATGTATGTCACATGTTAGTAATGTCTTTCCAGCAGCTTCTCAGACAAAAGAAACTTCATTTAAAATTTTGAGACATTACTTTTTTTAAAATCTGAAGTCAATATCAATGCCAAATAAAAACTCCATGAAGCACACATGAATAAATGTGTCATGTTCATGACATTCCTTTCTTAATGGCATTCATGATGTATATGAACACCAAATGGAAGACATTAATTTCAGATATTTACTTACTTACAATATATAAGATGAATAGACAATAACACCAGTAGTTGTATGGTGTTATCAGTATGCAGTCAAGTTATGATATAACAACAATGTTAAGAACATCTGTTATATTGATGAATATTACCTAACTCCTGTATACGGCCAGTATACTGCCCCTCCAACTCCACTTTCTCCTGCTCTATTCCCTGAGATACCTCCTCCTTCTGTCTGACAGCCATCAAATCCTTCTCACTGGACAGAATGTTAAAAAAGTCCTCCTTTGTCTTACCTTTCAGAGCATCCACACCCTAAAGAAAACAGTAGGATTCACTCTTCCTGTATGTGTTATTTACAGACTGGTGTCATATTATATTTGTATGGTATATATATATATATAGCTGATATTGGTGAAAGTGCGAGCAAAGTTATGATCCATACCAAACTCAATGGTCTCAGGAAAGGATAAAGTGAATAGCTGTAAGATATTATGTACAGAATGTGATTCCAGTTCCCAACACATGTCCCATTTTATAGCAAATTTGGTGTTTGTATGAAATATACTTTAAGCTTTTAACTAAAAACAAGCTTTGGTATCAAACTTCACAACAGGTCACCACTTTGCACATTGGACATTTCACTTTTACTAACTAAAATGTCTGTATTTATTGCAGCAAACTGAGGTAAAGTAGTTGATACTCTGAAAATCTTTGATTATAGTCTTATGAACCTGAGTACATAAGCAAGAAAGTTACGCACTAGACAAGACTGAAGAGAACTTAAGGAATTGGTACCTAGATAACACTAATGACTTTTCATGGATGTAAAAATAAACACTTTAAAATCCCTGAAGCTAATAAATCACCTACAAGGGGCTCCTGTGGTTTACAAAAATACATCTAAAATCATCTTAGACCTAATAATCCTTATAATTGATTACATTTTTATATTTTTATTAAAAAATATTAATTTTGTTAGTTTGACAAATGATGTGAGGTAACTTTTTAGGATTTAGAAACTTTGACCCTTTCCCCTGATGAGGTAACCTCGTATGACCTCGAGACATTGAACTCCTTTGAAGTAATATTGTACAATCTTTTGACTATGACTCGTTCCCAAGTGACACTGACCTCCGAGAGACTGTTCTCATACTCTTGTATCTTGGCCTGTAATTCTTGATTTAGTCTCCTTAACTGTTCCTCATACTTCTCCTCCAAAGTCTCTCTTTCCTTGTTAAATCTGCTCTCCAGTTCCTCTCTCTGCTGCAAAACTTGCATATCAAATTCATTCTTGTCATCCTCTCTTGCAGATTCAAAATCGATCCGTAACTTGTTTTTCTCCTCCTCATGTTTAGCTTGTAATTTATGAATGTCATCTTGCTTACTTATATCCATCTCTGTCCTAATATTCACACAATCATTTTCAAATCTAGACTTGAGTTTTTGTATTTCATTCTCCTTGGTCACTTCTAATTCCTCTATGAGTTTGGTCCTTTCCTCTGAGAGGCGGTGTTCCAACTCCTCCTGGTGCTCAAACAGTTTCTCCTCAAGTTCAGCCTTTTCCTGTTCAAGCTGTTGTAGCTGCGACTCATCAGGCTGTGAGATGTATGACTCCAGTTCAGCCTTGTCACGGGCATAATCCTCCCTCACTGCATTCACTTGTGCCTCCAGATCCCGTGCATAATCTGCTTGTAGACTAAAGAAAGGAAACAGTGTTACAGACCGTTGACTTGAACTATATAATGCCAGATACACTTAAGTTTTGATTGAAACAAAAACCTTTACATTAATATTTTTGTAAATGATATAATTTTCATACATTATTGACAACTTCTGAAGAGAAATCGAGAATACATGTTGATTGTGGTGAGTTTGTGATAGGATAGGATAGAGGAATGAATACATATCCATTTTAACATGGAACTAGTGAGACATATACACTAGTAAATAGTTCTATAAATAGTCTCTATAGTCTTCATATAACACAGTATCTTATCTGGCTGTCAATTCCAGTTTTACAGTGATACAAAATACTACGTCTTTATGTTAACAATAACTCGCCTCTTAATCAAGGAGTCCTTTTCTTCCACAAATTTCTGGTTTAAAATTTTCTTCTCTGATTCATGTTTGTCCAATATGTCTTGTTTTTCTTGTGCAAAGAGAACCTGCAGCTCCTGCTGTCGGCCAGCCAATTCCGTCTGTTTGATGTGTTCACAATCCTCGTAGATTTTACCCTGTAGACGATCAGCGTTATTTGATTTTAATTAATATATGAAAGTAATTTATCAATTTTATGAAGTGAAATGATTTTACAAATACATTTAATATTTGACATGAATCCTTTGTCCAATGGTACGTGTAGTTTAATCAGCTGGTAGTATAGTTCTGTAACAGAGTATATACCTAACACAGTTATCAGTTGAAATACTTGTCACTCTTCCTAGTAAGATATCAATTTTATATAATCCACTTTCAAAGTTTGACTTCAATTTTTCACTTCTATTTTTCACATCATCACACTAACCTTTTCTTCTTCAAATTTCTTTAAAAGTTCAGCTTTCTGGTTGTCATGCCTCTCCTCCCTCTTAGAAAGTTCCTCTTTATAAGTGTTCTCAAGCTCTGCATGCTCTCTTTCCATGTGGTTTTTAAGGTCAATTAGTTCCTTTTTAAGGTTCTCTATCTGTTCCCTGTCATTCTGTATGCTGCTGACACCTGTACAACAATCAACAGACCCAGTCATCATTAAGTCATTACAAACGACAATTCCAGCCATCTTAAGCCAGACAATTACATTAGAGATCCTATATTTTACACTTGTGTACAAGTCCAGATCCATGTATCTTGTGGAGAGTAAATCTTTAGATAATCTTTTCAATACGTTTTTTTTGTTGTGTCTTATAAAGGAAAGTTTTCTCTGCTAGTACAGTATTTACTGATGAAATAGATAAGAAAGCAATTTATAGCAAAATTGTAATTTCAGTCAAATAAGGTCATATTTATGAATATGAGTAGAAATGAATTGTCACACATAAAGAAAAAAAATTACTAGGATGAAGAAAGTATTTTGGAAAATAGATAACCAGATAAAATATTTCAGAAAATAATAACAGAAGAACAAATATTTCTAAAGCCAGAGATCTTTGCCTATAAGTTACTAATATCAAAGAGTGCATGATCAGTCTACTGCAGTCAAGGATTGCTTAATCTCTCGTACGGTCCTATTTATCATACAGTGAGTAGTTTGACTATTAAGAAACCTATTTGTTTACCATCTTGTCACACTATTCTCGACCTTAGTGTACATAGGGTTATAGTCCAGCCAAAAACGTTGGTCGATTCCGTACCACCTAGTACACTACGTACGTCAGTGCTAGTACGCTCCACTCTGGTTATTTGTCTGATGAAGGTGACAATGTAGTCATCGAAACGTCACACTCTAATCTTCTACTGGATGTGTTATAAGAACTGCTATTCTATTAAGAAACCTGTTTATTACACTATAAGTGTTGGACTATACTTAACAAAGTGACCTTATCTAGGATTATATGACCTTTATAAACAAATCACTGTTTGTTGGACACCACAGCAAATATTGACAAGACATTAGAAATCAGCTAATGTCATTCTACATGGACAGGTCATAGGGTCAAAAAGCAAAGGTCAACAGTACAAAATGTACAGCTGGTTTAATCCTTAAACAGCAAAACTGATATCGACAGACCAGTACCAATTACTAAATTTAAAGTCCTAATGAATATGGTACAAGGAAATCATTGTTACACAACTGACCAAAATTACAGTGATTGTACACTATATATCTTAATGATAGATTCTGGTCAATGTCATCTTTTACGTAGATCCTTCTGATAAAGGGTAACATTACACTCTGTCTCAAAACAGTTCAGTCAGTCATTTCACAAGAAGTTTTTATCTAATCATTTCATGTGATGTATACTTTATCCTTCATAAGATCGATGTCAAGTGGCTGACCTATAAAACTCTCATAGAACATAACATGGTAGAAAATGTACAGAGTCAACAAAATTTTGTAGCATTCACAGTAATGGTTGACATTTCAGTTAGTATGATATACCTACACGTATACATTTCTAGGATTGTAGTACCAAGCGAAGGCCTTTTTCTGTTCATACATTCAATAAATCAAGATCAAAAGCCTTTATATGCTATGTATGGAATGGGCAAACAAGCTACACAGCTGAATGGGGAATTTGGAGTAACATGCAGTTGGAATATGTTTTCAAATCAAAAACTGAATTCCTATTCCAGCAATGTGACAGTAATTCAAGCCCAGAGGACAAAATAAGATTAGTGAGAATTAAATTGATTTCCGAGTAGCTGGTATGAACAGTTTTATTAAAACAAGCATATATGTTTTAAAATCATTTCACAGCAGAGACATAATGGTAAACAAAATCATTCCTTTAAAATTTACAGATTTCTCGCAATTTCTTGTAATTATCTTTTAAATATAAAGAACAGCTAGGAGATTGTTAAAGAATCAATGGGGAGTACAAGAAGTGCACAATTCAACTGTGATTCAATACAGTTATAGACAAAATGCTATTAACGTGTCGACAAAATAAAAGTGTGGGGTTTAACAACACTACAGGCTTACGTGTTTCCCAATCTGAAAATAACATTCAATAATTCTTGACTTGATAGAATTGTAATGTGTCACCTAAAATCAAGACTATCGTAATATGTTGTTATAAAGATGAAGCTCATGCTGTCAGTAAAACAATAAACAAACTAGACCACCACTGCTGATTAACCTACTATGCCACAGTCAACTATTTATAGGTAGGCTTCACTGGAAGTCTTAAACATGTATATCTAAACATTAATGTTCTGCCACTATTGATAGATAAAAGCAGATGTTGATACATAATATATACTGAACAAAATAAGTTAAGGATCATAAACTTGAAACAGTGCAGTTTTACATACAAATAATAATATGATTATATTTTAAATTTTAATGACAGAACATTCATTTTAGTCTTTAATTACACAAAACAAATTCATTTGTGGTAATTGCTACCAAGAGCAGATAACCCTGAGTAACAGCACCCTTGAAATGAAAGTGTAAGAGGAAGTAGAGCAAGTTAATCATGTAGACAAGGAAAACTCATCAAACTGCAATTGGCAGTTTGATAGGCAGTATGACCTCCGTTGACATCAATAACTGCCCTGCAACGTCTGCACATGCTCCTTATTAGTCGTCGGTGGCTGATCTGTGGGATGCGCTGCCATTCCTCTTGCAGAGCAATCATAAGCTGTTGGCGGTTCTGTGGCGGATTAGGTCGAGCTGAAACCCGGCGTTGCAAGGTGTCCCAAGCATGCTCGATAGGGTTCAGATCAGGGGAACGACTTGGCCACTCCATGCGAACGATTGCTTCACGTTGAAGATAGTCGTTGACCACACGAGCACGGTGAGGACGAGCATTATCATCCATCAGAATAAAATCATGGCCAACAACTCCTGCAATGGGCCTTACTATAGGGTGTAGAATCTCGTCCCTGTATCGAACAGCTGTTAAAGATCCATTGTCTATGATGTAGAGGTATGTATGGAAGTCAACACTGATCCCTGCCCAAACCATCACTGACCCACCACCAAAGCGAGCATGCTGGACAACACAGCAGTATGCATAGCGCTCTCCTTGGGTTCTCCATACCCTCCTCCTACCGTCATGGAAGTCAACACAAAACCTAGACTCATCTGTGAACATAACATTTCTCCAATGACGTAATTGCCAATTCAAATGATGAGTGGCCCATTGATGTCTGGATTGTCGATGACCTCTGGATAAAATTGGTCGGACTGCTGGTCTTCTAGCTCGTAAATTAGAGGCATGGAGTCTGTTTCTGATTGTCTGGGATGAAATCCTTAGATTTGTAGCACGCTGAAACTGAAGATTCAAGACAGGAGCACTCAAAAACCGCTGACGTCGTGCCGTGATGCAAATGAATCTGTCCTGTCGGGCTGTCGTACAGCGTGGTCGTCCAGATCTGGGGCGTTGACGGACGTTATTTGTCTGTTGATAGCGATTCCATAGCCTACTAATCACGCTCTGAGAAACATGAAGCTGTGCCGCCACATTTCGTTGAGTTTGACCAGCTTGAAGGAGCCCTATAGCTCGCGCGGCTTCCATATCATTTAAATGTCTTCGCATGATTAGTTTTTCAAGTTTTCGTTACAAATTGATTAAATGTTTCCAAATTCAACTTTTTTTAGCTTAGAAGTAACAGAATCAAAACCTGCAAGATTCCTCTGTAGTAATAGACCAGTCAGTTTTTCACACCACCATAGTTAACTAGAGCGGAACGGCAAGACCTTCAGATGCACGTGCTTTCACCTTTGACATGACTTTAGGTACATATTGGAGAAACTACGAGTGCAATTACCGGCAATACATTATTTGAATTTCTAAAGATATTATGGTCACAATTTATGATCCTTAACTTATTTTGTCCAGTATATATATATTTCAATAATTGCTGCTGAGAATCATTAGAATTAACTTTTAAAAGAAATATCTTATAATATTATGATACATTACTCAATCTAATAAATGGATACCAAACAGGTGTATATATAGATATATATAATATTATAAACATACAGAGATATTCTACAGTCAGAAGACAACAGTGTTACAATAAGACACGGCACACCAATGTTAGTTACAAAACACGCTTACGTTTGATCCAGTCTGCAGGCAAAGGTCAAATGATACAGGAAAAAATACAGTATAAGTGTGATGAAGGTTTAAAAATGATCATTTTTGTCACGACATCAAAATAAAAAATATGAAGAGGATCAACATGTGTCAAACAACAGCTGATACCCTCAGAATTAATTTCTTACAATGAAAAAGAACCACACATTCTTTTAACCACATTTAATGATTAAACGTGATATGAACATGTTTGTCAGTAACAGATAAGTTCAAGTCATATAGAATCACAAAGATTATATGTCAGCAACTTCATAGCAAAGGTATACTGATAAAGCAATTAAATTGAAGCCGATGATATAGGGCAATGTTGATACCATTTACACCTAACAATGACAATTAATTATACAACTTAATAGATGGTGGACAAAACAAGACACTCCAAATTAGCAAAAACAAATCACATGTTTACCATATTCAACATAATACCACTCCTTTAACCTTTTTTCTTATTCCGAGTTAATCAGAAGTAGGATGATATCAGGTATATGACACTTGTACAGGCTTTCTAATCCTGAAGTACCAATTCATTATGACGAGCAATGCCTGGGTACTTATGTCACTGATGGTAAACATGCGGGGGTGGCTGTTGTATTCAGGGTAAATGTACTCACTTCCAGGGTCTTCATCATCAGGAGCCTGTGGAAGCTTGCGACGTGTCCGTTTACTGTAGTTAGGAGTCAGTCCTGTAGACCCGGAGGACTGGGTCTCATCATCAGATGTTTCTAGAAAATATTACCATGTAATACAAAGAGTCCACTAAACAGGTACCAGTAATGACAAGAGTTGTTCAATGAGAAAGAGGTGACAGGCTGTAATGCAAATTATTTTCAATTCATGTAAGAAAATTACAAAACAAAAATAAATCTTTGTAATGCTACAGTAACCCCTTGTATTCCTCGTCTCATGTAACTTATAAAAGATTACCTGTACTACTAGTGTAAACTATCTGAAGACAGAAAAAACATGACTATCCTAGTAACCTACCTCAAGACAGAGACTCCCCTGCAACCTACATGAGAATAGAGATGACTTGACTCCCGTGTAACCTAGATGAGGACAGAGATGACCTGACACCCCTGTGACCTACCTGAGGACAAAGATGACCTGACTCCTTTGCGACCTGAGGACAAAGATGACCCGACTCCCTTGCCACCTACCTGAGGACAAAATTGACCTGACTCCCGTGTAACCTAGATGAGGACAAAGATGACCTGACTCCCTTGTGACCTACCTGAGGACAGAGATGACCCGACTCCCTTGCCACCTACCTGAGGACAAAATTGACCTGACTCCCCTGTGACCTACCTGAGGACAAAGATGACCTGACTCCCTTGTGACCTACTTAAGGACAGATATGACCTGGCTCCCCTGTGACTTACCTGAGGACAAGATGACCTGACTCCCTTGCAACCTACCTGAGGACAAAGATGATCTGACTCCCTTGCAACCTACCTGAGGACAAAGATGACCTGACTCCCCTGCGACCTGCCTTGATATAATCAGAGACCAATGTCCCCTCTCTAACAGGAATTCGAGATCCAAATCCTCGTGGTGAGCGACCAATACCACCGTCCTTCTTTTTCAAAGCAGGGAACTGTTGTTTTATTGTCTCTAACTCTGCAGTGAGTTCATCATTACGATCTTTCAAATCCTGGAAATCAAAACAAAACCTATATAAACCTCAGTTTTTCATACACAAATTTTTAAGATTTTCCATTCCAGAAGACATGAATGTTCAAATGAAAAATTGGACATCATAACTCATATCATTTCAATATGTTGTAACTTTAAAGATCCATTCCATTGGAATACATTTCAGATCTTGAAGCTACAGAAATATTTTTCAAACTATATTGATTAGGATCTACTCTTCTAAAAGTTGTTCTATCTAAGATATACACACAACAAGTTTAAGTACCTTATTTTCATTCTTGACTCTCTCAATTTTCTCTTCTGTCACTTTTTTTTCATCTGGAGAGAGAACACCAATGGACTCGAACTCATCTAGCTGTAAAAGATATGTAATTCACATCGTAATCAAAATGGCTAAACTTTCTATCATCCATTTAAAGTATTTTCTAAATCAATCGAGCCTCTGTCGCAGTTGTTACATATGTAATGTTACTTACAATTTCCTGTAAAATACAAGTACATAATGAATAGATGACCAAACACAGTTGCTATTAATGTCACAACGGTCATAAAAGGCCTTTTAAAGTAAAAATAGCATTTTTAAAATCTTTTTATTAGATGTTATATAACTCACCTTTCTCTGAAGGTCGTTGACGGACTGTAGTTCCTTTTGAAGTCGTGAGTTTTGTTTCTGAACATCTGTGCGCTTTTCTACTGATTCTATCAAATCTCTCTCCAGTCTCTCTATCTCCTTTAAAGATAATGTTTCATTTACGTCAACTATGATAAACTATAAACTGCCAGTGTAACTGCTAAACCTCCATCTTTTGAACCATGCTAAACTTATCTTAAAATCTTATATTTGTAAGGTTGTGCTAAACTTGTCTGAAACGTGTCTGACTTCTACACTTGAGAGTATGCTGAACTTATCTAAACCTCCACCTTTTAATTCAGAGCCTGTGCTGAACTTACCTAAACTTCCAGCTTTTAATTCAGAGCCTGTGCTGAACGTATCAAAGCCTCTAACTTCTGAACTTGTTTGTATAAAGCTAAATTACCTTCTGAGCCTGTGCCAAACTCTCTCTGAGCTTTCTGTCCTCGTGTCGGAGCTGTTCCATTTCCCCTTCAAGGACTGTTTTCTGTGTGACAGCCTGCGTGTTGTACTGTTCTCTCTCATGCTCCAACTCACTCTGTAACATCTTCACCTGTTCTTGGTACTTCTTCTCCACTGTCCTGTTAAACCACCAAGCTTCAAGTATTACATCACAGACAACACTGGCAGATACAGGCAACATGTCGGGTACATGATCTTCTCAACTCACAGTAAAAATCTATCCACCAGTATGGTCATTTCTCATCAAGTATACACTCCTGATTGTTGACCAAGATATTATACTGATAACAGCAACATATACAGCACTATACCATGTAGTCTTAGTATACAATGTACACACACTTAATTTAATATATATTACTGGTGAGTGAGAAACAAGATATCCCCATTTCCATTTAAATCTATTTTAGGGTCTAATTCTAAGTATAACTATATATCTGCTTTCTCTATTGTATCCCACATCTGTCCAATAGACACTTACAGTTTCCATGGGACTTGATGATATCTGTGTGTTATGGAAGTATTTAAGTAATTAACATTACAGAGTGATGTTGGTGAAAGTCATTAATTCTCAAAGATACCAAAATATCATTTCTCTAGGTTTCATTTTGGTTATCATGACAATCTCAATATTTTTTGATGAAAACTATAAAGTCTTGATGGAATTCCTGATGTTGATTAACAGGATCCTACATGGATCTGTTCAGTGGACAGGAATATCTCAACCTGAGTGTAAGAGTTTGGCTCAGCAAGTCCAGTGTTAACCAGTCAAACTATTACACTCAGCAAGGCCAATGCTAACCAGCGAAACTATTACACTCATCAAGGTCAGTGCTGACCAGACAAACCATTACACTCAACAAGGCCAGTGCTGACCAGGCAAACTATTACACTCAGAAAGGCCAGTATTGACCAGCCAAACTATTACACTCGGAAAGGCCAGTGCTGACCAGCCAAACTATTACACTCAGCAAGGTCAGTGCTGACCAGACAAACTATTACATTCAACAAGGTCAGTGCTGACCAGACAAACTATTACACTCAACAAGGCCAGTGCTGACCAGACAAACTATTACACTCAGCAAGGCCAATGCTAACCAGCGAAACTATTACACTCATCAAGGTCAGTGCTGACCAGACAAACCATTACACTCAACAAGGCCAGTGCTGACCAGGCAAACTATTACACTCAGAAAGGCCAGTATTGACCAGCCAAACTATTACACTCGGAAAGGCCAGTGCTGACCAGCCAAACTATTACACTCAGCAAGGTCAGTGCTGACCAGACAAACTATTACATTCAACAAGGTCAGTGTTGACCAGACAAACTATTACACTCAACAAGGCCAGTGCTGACCAGACAAACTATTACACTCAGAAAGGCCAGTGTTGACCAGACAAACTATTACACTCAGAAAGGCCAGTGTTGACCAGACAAACTATTATACCCAGCAAGGCAGTGCTGCCAGCCAAACCATTACACTTGGCAAGGCCAGTGCTGACCAGCCAAACTATTACACTCAACAAGGCCAGTGCTGACCAGGTAAACTATTACACTCAGAAAGGCCAGTGTTGACCAGCCAAACTATTACACTCAGAAAGGCCAGTGTTGACCAGCCAAACTATTACACTCGGAAAGGCCAGTGCTGACCAGACAAACTATTACACTCGGAAAGGCCAGTGCTGACCAGACAAACTATTACACTCAGCAAGGTCAGTGCTGACCAGACAAACTATTACATTCAACAAGGTCAGTGCTGACCAGACAAACTATTACACTCAGAAAGGCCAGTGCTGACCAGACAAACTATTACACTCGGAAAGGCCAGTGCTGACCAGCCAAACTATTACACTCAGCAAGGTCAGTGCTGACCAGACAAACTATTACACACAGCAAGGCCAGTGCTGACCAGACAAACTATTACACTCAGCAAGGCCAGTGCTGACCAGACAAACTATTACACTCGGAAAGGCCAGTGCTGACCAGACAAACTATTACACTCAGAAAGGCCAGTGTTGACCAGACAAACTATTATACCCAGCAAGGCAGTGCTGCCAGCCAAACCATTACACTTGGCAAGGCCAGTGCTGACCAGCCAAACTATTACACTCAACAAGGCCAGTGCTGACCAGGTAAACTATTACACTCAGAAAGGCCAGTGTTGACCAGCCAAACTATTACACTCAGAAAGGCCAGTGTTGACCAGCCAAACTATTACACTCGGAAAGGCCAGTGCTGACCAGCCAAACTATTACACTCAGCAAGGTCAGTGCTGACCAGACAAACTATTACACACAGCAAGGCCAGTGCTGACCAGACAAACTATTACACTCAGCAAGGCCAGTGCTGACCAGACAAACTATTACACACAGCAAGGCCAGTGCTGACCAGCCAAATTGTTACACTCAACAAGGCCAGTGCTGACCAGGCAAACTATTACACTCAGAAAGGCCAGTATTGACCAGCCAAACTATTACACTCGGAAAGGCCAGTGCTGACCAGCCAAACTATTACACTCAGCAAGGTCAGTGCTGACCAGACAAACTATTACATTCAACAAGGTCAGTGTTGACCAGACAAACTATTACACTCAACAAGGCCAGTGCTGACCAGACAAACTATTACACTCAGAAAGGCCAGTGTTGACCAGACAAACTATTACACTCAGAAAGGCCAGTGTTGACCAGACAAACTATTATACCCAGCAAGGCAGTGCTGCCAGCCAAACCATTACACTTGGCAAGGCCAGTGCTGACCAGCCAAACTATTACACTCAACAAGGCCAGTGCTGACCAGGTAAACTATTACACTCAGAAAGGCCAGTGTTGACCAGCCAAACTATTACACTCAGAAAGGCCAGTGTTGACCAGCCAAACTATTACACTCGGAAAGGCCAGTGCTGACCAGACAAACTATTACACTCGGAAAGGCCAGTGCTGACCAGCCAAACTATTACACTCAGCAAGGTCAGTGCTGACCAGACAAACTATTACATTCAACAAGGTCAGTGCTGACCAGACAAACTATTACACTCAGAAAGGCCAGTGCTGACCAGACAAACTATTACACTCAGCAAGGCCAGTGCTGACCAGACAAACTATTACACACAGCAAGGCCAGTGCTGACCAGACAAACTATTACACTCAGCAAGGCCAGTGCTGACCAGACAAACTATTACACTCGGAAAGGCCAGTGCTGACCAGACAAACTATTACACTCAGAAAGGCCAGTGTTGACCAGACAAACTATTATACCCAGCAAGGCAGTGCTGCCAGCCAAACCATTACACTTGGCAAGGCCAGTGCTGACCAGCCAAACTATTACACTCAACAAGGCCAGTGCTGACCAGGCAAACTATTACACTCAGAAAGGCCAGTGTTGACCAGCCAAACTATTACACTCGGAAAGGCCAGTGCTGACCAGCCAAACTATTACACTCAGCAAGGTCAGTGCTGACCAGACAAACTATTACACACAGCAAGGCCAGTGCTGACCAGACAAACTATTACACTCAGCAAGGCCAGTGCTGACCAGACAAACTATTACACTCGGAAAGGCCAGTGCTGACCAGACAAACTATTACACTCAGCAAGGCCAGTGCTGACCAGCCAAATTGTTACACATATGGGTTGAGATATTCTTATCTACTGAACAGATCCATGTTTGATTGTTTTTCTCATATACACACAAAAAAACTACTTCTTCATTGCATCCTATCAATGTCTGGGCCATGCAATATGCATCAATATTGATGATGTTATCAATTTGCAACATGGTTACACATAAAACGATGATGCTACCCTATGGTAAGTGGTATCATAGTGTGTGTCAGGTTTTTTTTCCTATCCCATATGAGGTAAAGATGCCTCATCCTTGGGACCATGTGATCATTCTGTGAGGTATGTGAGAAATTCCAATACTTACCGGAGCAGATCTGATACATGTATTTCAGAGGTTAAAGTGTTGAAACTTATTAAGTAACACCAATAATACCCAGGAGTTGAGTGTTGAAGGGAACACATATAAAAAGTTTTAAAACCACAACCATTAAGTTAACTCTGTGATCTGCTACAGGAACTGCATTGTAAACCATGTATAGAAAATAGGGGAAAAGAAAAACACTACAGTACCAAACAGGAGACATGTACTCTGCCTCATGGGCAAAATGCAAATTTGATAGCGGAGCCCAGAATTAGGAATCTGCTATATAAAGATAATTATATATGATTAAACTGAAAATAAACATAAGGCATGCTTTCAATAATGTTAACCCTGAAGGAGATTTCCATCTATTTTCTATTTTCAAATTGTAATATATATATGAATTACTTTACTTAACCATCATGTTTATTTATAAAGAGAGTTCAGAGTTGATATACTAATGTAACTTTGAGCCAGAAATCAAAGTAAGCTTATTTATATAGTCAAAATGTTAAATACAAGTTATATACAAATGTACAAAGAAATAATCACTATACTGTACATCTGTAGATCACAGAAAATGTATCCTTAACCTGCATCCAACTTACAATAAAACAGCGGAAAATGTCACCTCCCTGGAACACGTTAACTACCCTCAGACTTTAATGTGCCAATACCTGTGGCACTGTTTATGTTTACCTATATACCTGTACATTCAGGTAGGACACTGTACACCAGTTACAATCAGAAACCCATTATATACCACTAACGGGACATCCTCTCAAGCTGAATATCTATACAGGTAATAAATTCTACAATGACATCTGGCCATTTAAAGATAAGAGAGACTTTTGTTAAATTGACATTTTCTATATAAGTTGGTGGGAGACACAATGACACACAATATCAGTCAAAGTGGTTTAATAACTCTTCTTCAAATACTATAGCCTTGACAGGATTCAAATAGTCTCTTAAGTTTCATCTGATTTAAGTGAATTCCTTCAATTTTTTTAAACAATGAAAGATAATGAAATAATATCAAATACATTATAAAATATTTCCATTCAATATCACAAACATTTACAATAATCAATCATTATAGTTTTGCATTACACAAACAAGGCAAATTGATCATTTCAAATATTTTAGAAGCATGCTATTAAAATTTACAAAGCCAGGCATTGATGGTATTGACAAGGAAAAATCATATCCCTCAACCTTTACAAATCAAAGTCCTTCTACAAAGCCCCATTTAAATATAATTAATTGCTTTTATACTTACAGGTAAGTTTTCTTAATCTCAATTAGTATCTTACTGAGGTGCATTAAGGACAAATTCATGTTGTTGATGTTAATGACAAGATCCTAAGATATATAAAGTTCTCTCCCTTCCCAATAAGTGTTTTTTTGGCACTATCTCATCTTCATATATTTCATTGTATAGCATACAAATCAGGCGGAGTAAGATTTCTTCTTTAGATAACTACACGCCCTTTTTTACGTAAAATATAAAATAATGGAATTATCTAATAAGTATTCACTTAGTAATATATACAAAACAGGAGGAGTTATCTCCCTTCTTCATAACTTCTCCTTAACAAAATGATTACTGACTTGCATGAAATGATTCAAACATATACAAATCATATAAATTTATGTTTCAAATTTTAGGATGAAAATAGTCCCTGTGATCCCCCTTTACCCAATAAGATAAATACTCAAAACAGTTTTATCCCAAATTCATCTATAAAATGAGAAACAAAACTGAGTTAAGATTTACTTGTAGTGATATTGATATCTTCATTTCTTGATAAAAGCTTGACATGACAGCAAATTCTGTGGTTGATCTCATAAATTTTATACTTAAACTGACACATACAAATCAAAAGAATGATAGGACAGACAATAACTGGAGACTTACAGCAGCTTTCTCTCCGTACTCTGCTCCATGTGAGCGTGGCGTTCATCAACTTCTTTGGCTAACTTTGTATTTCTAAGGTTGGCCTCTGTCAAGTCTTGTTTTAACTTTTCTGTCTCCCAATTAAACTGTTCCAGGGTTGACCTGTTGAATACCAGATAAACTTCTATTCTTCGAAAATGATGACAAAATAATTTTTAATGTATTATTAAAATTCCTATAGATTATATTCTGAGCAAAATCAGCTTCAGATAAACAATCAATAACACAAAAGATGTATTTTAGAAATAATGCGATTCTCTCTCCTTACAAATCAGCACTAAAATGTCAAGGAGCATGTGAATAAGATTTGTTATATATATATATTTGTACCGTGTATATGATGTATATAAACATAAGTACAAGATTCAGCAAAGAATTAAAGTCATACTTAAGGTGTCGGATCTCCTGCTGGTAGGAGGAGAGTGCTGCCTGGTAGACTGCATTCTGATCGTCTGAGTTGATGAGTTCTTGTTCCAGGTAGGAGGATAGCTCTGACAGACTGACCTTGGTGTTGAGGTCAAATCCTAGTGCCTTAAATATCAACAATAAAATATTTTTAGGAGAGTTTGACATCTTAGTATTAGTATCATCAAAAGAAATTTGATTTTAACTTTAAATCTTCATGTACAGCGGAGAGACCTAGTTTTCTTGTTTACAGAACCCTGTGATTGAAACCGAAGAATTCAACATCCTACACATTCTCTTGTCGAAATAAAATCCACATTAACTGAATACTGAAGTGATCTGATTATTGGATCTATGTATTAAATCGATATTGTCAATGCTATTTACATAGTGTTTATCTGGGACACCTGGTTATTACATACCAGAAGGATGTCAGCTCCATTGGTAACATTGTATTTTTCCCATAGGTCAATGATATTGTCTGGCATGGCAAACCTACAAAATGAATTGTAAACATTCATAATCCCTGAAATCTACCATTTGCCATGCATGAAGATACAGCAGTATGTTTTTTAGGTTTTCTAGCTGTGATAGGCTTGATTGAAGTACAAATCTGTTGTCTTTACCTACCCAGTGTTTGTTGGGTCTAGTGTAGTAAATATACCAGAGACACCGGTCCCCAATACAATGGATGGTGTTAGTCTCTCCTCTGCACTGGCTGATGCCATCACTTTGATTTTCTTTTGAGCAGAGTGTGTCCTGGGGGTAGGGGTGCCTAGTGAACGAGGGGTGGGGGGACATGCTGGTGCACTATGCTGCAGACCCTGTAGGAACTCATCAAAGCTTACTTTTCCGTCTGCATCAGAATCCAGTTTGTCAAATAGCTGCTGTAGTTCCTGTTCATATCCAAATATGGAGAACGTTATTTAAACAGTACATGAACACACTATTGAATCTGAAGCAGCCGATGAGGGACAATGCATTATCATTCTCAGAAATGATTATCTCTACTAGAAACAAAGCAGACATTTCAGGTATAATACAAATCAAACAGAAAAGAATAGGACATGACATAGGTTTCAATTGGATATGTTTGCCTAGTAAATGGCCTTCAAGTTGTGACCTCTAAAATGATATATATTAAACCTATATTCATGAAATGTATACCATGTACAATGTTGGTATCTCTACTTACATCATCATTCATTTCATCCATACCAATGTGATCACACACTGCTGCCAGGTCTGACAGAGTTATGTATCCTCGCTGTCCCACCCCTAGAGTCTGCCAGATATTGCGTAGATAGTCCTCTTCTGTCAGTTCCTGGGTCTGTTCTAATTCACACATATTTAAGTTCAACTGACCTACAAAACGTAATAAAACTTCACTTGTAACTCCATGTTTAGAAATAAAATGCAAATGTATTTAAAAAGTAGTAATTTTGTCACTATATTTTGGCTTGCCAATTTTATCACAATGTCTTACACTGTATTGTATCAGTGTATTGGTACATGAATAACAATACACTACACTATGGATTTAGCTGTTTTGTAACAAACTTTTAAATTTGATAAAATACTTTAACAGGTGAACTTTCCAATACATTATTTATATTTACTACTACTATGAAATGGTCTGAAGACATTTATGTTTAAACCTTGCAGTGTTAAAGATTATCAGATGTAGCATCAAATCTTATATAAGTCACCATAAAGACAGACTGACAAGTCCGTGAGAGTCCGTAAAAGTAGCAATCAGTCTTGATACCAGAAATGTATGTACCTTCTGCCTCAAACATCTCCCTCTCTTCCTCAGAAAGGGATGACGCCGATTCACGTAATGGGTTATCTCCCTTACTCCGTCGCAATGACCTTGAACCATCTTCCTGTAAAAGAAGTGATTTTTGTAAAATATCTTAACTGTTGCAAAAACTTACATTTTTGATGAAATTTGGTATTTGTGAAAGTGTAATGTATGATAAAGGGTATGTGAAAAGTTGAATAATTCAAACGGAAAAACACCTAACACAGGGATCACTATAGATACATTGGTATTACAAAGTAAACATGTATAGAAAATCATCACATGAAGCATTGTGAGAATATCATTACAAGTTGTTTGCCACACAGCAAGTCGTTCTCACGAAACTTTTAAATTAATTCCATTTAAACCTAATGGAATTATAATGGTAATATATACTAATACACATATGATGTATCTGTCCTCGTCCTGCAGAACACAACATGGCTATTGGTGTTTACAGGATGCAAAACTATAACCTAAATATCATTGTTGTACCTGTTTCTACAAATGACAACATCTGTGTCTGTGGTAGGTTTAAATTCCACCCTAGTATGAATATATACACTTGATAAATGAAAAATTAATTGCTTTCCTGATTCATCATAAAATTCATCATCCTGAAAATTGTCACATATACATCACTACCATATTATCCTACCATTATATTGCCTTTAACATCACTACCATATTACACCTAAATAAACCTACCATTATATTTCCTTTAACATCACTACCATATTACACCTAAATAACCATACCATTATGTTGCCTTTAACATCACTACCATATTACACCTAAATAACCATACCATTATGTTGCCTTTAACATCACTACCATATTAAACCTAAATAAACCTACCATTATATTTCCTTTAACATCACTACCTTATTAAACCTAAATAAAGATACCATTATGTTGCCTTTAACATCACTACCATATTAAACCTAAATAAACATTCCATTATATTGCATTTAACATCACTACCATATAAAACCTAAATAACCATACCATTATGTTGCCTTCAACATCACTACCATATTAAACCTAAATAAACATACCATTATGTTGCCTTTAACATCACTACCATATTAAACCTAAATAACCATACCATTATATTGCCTTTAACATCACTACCATATTAAACCTAAATAACCATACCATTATGTTGCCTTCAACATCACTACCATATTAAACCTAAATAAACATTCCATTATATTGCATTTAACATCACTACCATATAAAACCTAAATAACCATACCATTATGTTGCCTTCAACATCACTACCATATTACACCTAAATAAACCTACCATTATATTGCCTTTAACATCACTACCATATTAAACCTAAATAAACATTCCATTATGTTGCCTTCAACATCACTACCATATTACACACAAATAATCTGCCACTATATTGCTAATTAAAATTTGTACTGGGTTTAATTTTAAAGGTCTTTTAACTTGGTAAACTGACAGCAAATGATTGAGCAGATGACAGAGAACCATTAAGTGTGCCCACAGACATATATACTAAATCTAGAATAGTTATGGACATCACAATTCAAATGTCACAATGAGAATAGCAGATATATGAAATGTAACGCTAACATATTTCAATCATTAAATTTTAAGTGAACTTAATTTTATTTTTCAGCAGAGTCTGAATGCAAATTTTTGACAAATTCTGGTGTTTAGAGCTCTCTGAAAAGTAAACTCTAGCTCTGTTTTCTGTAAAGTCAAATCTGTTTTTACACAGCACCTCATGCTTCAACCTATTGGAGATATTCTGTTGTTGCCATCCTTGACACTAACAACACTTTTCATAGGTTAAGTAATAAACTTATTTTCATCATTTGAACTTCCTCTCATCTTTATATAACTTTTCATCATTACAATTGAATCTTCATATATGACTTTTCATTCTTTAAACTTTATTTCAACTTTGATCTTTCATATAATTTCAACCTTACAAATTCTGTTCATCTTGTTCTTTATTTCATTCAAATTATTACTTCATTTCATTCTAAACTCTGTTTCAATCTTAATTTCCTGAGGTGCTCCCAAAATAAAACATAGTTACGACAGCTGAGTTGGTAACATAATATGTGCAATCTGTCTTAGAATTGTGATAAGGAAATGTGAGAGCTAGGGGTATTAGTCCTGTGCTTATTATAAATACCATGTCACTTGAATTATTCTCATTTAAGGGGAAGGGAATATATTATCAAACTGAAAACACAGCTATCAGGCAATACTGATTGCTAAATTCTATGACATATTAATATCTCAATAGGTTGAACCTTAATGAACAATACACAGATATCCCAAATATGTTGATACTAATTATATACCACGGTGTACTTACAATGGTTCACAATTATGTATATAAACTCCTTTCATTATGATATCATTGGATGTTGGAACATTATTATTTGAATGTCAAAATACCCAACAAGAAAAATAATACAATCTCCCAAGATAAACAGATAGTTTAAGAATACATATCAGCACAACCCACTGTATTGTCTAATTAGTACAATAGAATCCAGTATCAGAGAGTATGGTGCTGTAATAATAAAATCAGGAAATACTATTGTACCTAGATTTGTTTCTGAAAACATGTTCTGCACCACCGGTTTAAGATTAATACCCAAACTTAAAGGAAATTCATTTCTGTATTACTGCGATCAGTTAGCATTTATAAATTTTTCTAGACTGTGTCACAAACTAACAAGTCAGGACTTTATAAATAAAAAATAAATATTTTAATGTATATCTTGACTGATGATTCAAGATTCAAATAATTGATTCCGATATCAAATACAACAAGCGTTCCAATGGCTGTCGTATTATTTACATGTGTAATAATCTATATCGCTACACTATTGAATTTACAAACAAACTTAAATCAAGAATCTTTCAAAAAAGATTTTCAACATATTTCTGGCAAAGTGTGTATTCAAACTGAATTAAGATAACAATTTTGATTTGATAACACCAGGAATGCAATCACACATCAACTTAATAACAACAGGGCAATGAGACGTGAAATGTAATGATGTGACCTAGAAATCAGACAAAAGACACAAATTAACAGGTAAAGACAATACACCTCACACTTTAGAGCAGGGTAAAGGTAGGCTTTGTTTAATTAATACCATACAAGATTTAATGCACAGTATATATACTGTCCCCATCAGTGAATAAACTTTTCCTATCAAAAAAAGAAGAAAGGGCCATAACTCTGTTAATAATGGGAATATGAAGAATTTCAGTTCACCAGATTGCAGCTCTGCCATCTCAATGGTTAGTTAATGTCAAGGACCAAGTGAAATGAAAAACTAAGGGTCATAACTCTTATGAAGCGAAAAGCAAAATTTTATGACCATCAAAGAGTAAACGGTGAGACTGAGAGAATTATATTGTACAAAGACATATCAGTTTTTAAAAACTGAGTGACTATCTCTTAAAATACATGGACAGTTTGACTTTATATGCAAAAAGCTGTATATTACACCTTATATATTAGCATAAAAAAACCTCTGGAAGGATCTTGTGATGAAAACAAGATAGAATTACACTGTGTCTTTATATATATATATATATATACAAGGATACCTGTTGTTTTGAACCTTAAAACATTCTACGGATTCCACTAGGAGTTACCTTCATACAAGAATGTATTTATATAGCTACAGCATTAGATGTAATGATAAGATAGTGGGAATGGGGTGGTCCATGTTTAGCCTGTGTTACAAGATCTATTGTATTACCTTGCTGTGGCATGTAGGTGTACACACTATCATATAGAATCTGCTGACAAGTGGTTCCACAAGGAATTTAATAACACACATGGATCAAATGCCTGTTCTAATGTTAACAGAAATGATCAAATGTCTTGTCTAATGTTAACAGAAATGATTAAATGTCTCGTCTAATGTTAACAGAAATGATTAAATGTCTCGTCTAATGTTAACAGAAATGATTAAAAGTCTCGTCTAATGTTAACAGAAATGATTAAATGTCTTGTCTAATATTAACAGAAATGATCAAAAGTCTCGTCTAATGTTAACAGAAATGATTAAATGTCTTGTCTAATGTTAACAGAAATGATTAAATGTCTCGTCTAATGTTAACAGAAATGATTAAATGTCTTGTCTAATGTTAACAGAAATGATCAAATGCCTGTTCTAATGTTAACAGAAATGATCAAATGTCTCGTCTAATGTTAACAGAAATGATTAAATGTCTCGTCTAATGTTAACAGAAATGATTAAATGTCTCGTCTAATGTTAACAGAAATGATTAAAAGTCTCGTCTAATGTTAACAGAAATGATTAAATGTCTCGTCTAATGTTAACAGAAATGATTAATGTCTCGTCTAATGTTAACAGAAATGATTAAATGTCTCGTCTAATGTTAACAGAAATGATTAAATGTCTCGTCTAATGTTAACAGAAATGATTAAATGTCTTGTCTAATGTTAACAGAAATGATTAAATGTCTCGTCTAATGTTAACAGAAATGATTAAATGTCTTGTCTAATGTTAACAGAAATGATTAAATGTCTCGTCTAATGTTAACAGAAATGATTAAATGTCTTGTCTAATGTTAACAGAAATGATTAAATGTCTCGTCTAATGTTAACAGAAATGATTAAATGTCTTGTCTAATGTTAACAGAAATGATTAAACATCTCGTCTAATGTTAACAGAAATGATTAAATGTCTCGTCTAATGTTAACAGAAGTTATGAAATGTCTTGTCTAATGTTAACAGAAATGATTAAATGTCTCGTCTAATGTTAACAGAAATGATTAAATGTCTCGTCTAATGTTAACAGAAATGATTAAATGTCTCGTCTAATGTTAACAGAAATGATTAAATGTCTTGTCTAATGTTAACAGAAGTTATGAAATGCCTGTTCTAATGTTAACAGAAATGATTAAATGTCTCGTCTAATGTTAACAGAAATGATTAAATGTCTCGTCTAATGTTAACAGAAATGATTAAATGTCTCGTCTAATGTTAACAGAAATGATTAAATGTCTCGTCTAATGTTAACAGAAATGATTAAATGTCT